CCATGAGCTACTGCAGGGGTCATTGTCACAAGCCACCTACGTTTCCGGACGGTTGGCTGCCCACTGAGAAGCCCTCGGCTGGGCTGTGAAAGTCACCTGTGCACTGCAAAGCCTTGGTGTCCGCGGGGGCACGACCGCTGGCTGAGAAGAACCCAGGCAGGCAGGAGCAGCTGTACTCCCCAGGGGTGTTGACGCAGACCGAGTTGGCACCACAGAGAGAGGAGTTCTTGGAACACTCATCCACATCTAAGCAGAAAGCAGTCCACGTCACAGCCTTGGAGGACGCTGAAGCTGCGGCCCCTCTCTCTCACCACTGACCACAGTCGGCGGCATCCCTGGCTCCAGCCTCACCTTCTAGAACACGTGTTCACCGTGCACAGAGCAGCCGTGTAGAGGCACATCCACCACCCTGTCACATTCTGAGAAGTCTCCCCTCCACTCAGGAGGAAACCTGGGCCCTTCGATAGGTGGACAAGGCCCTGGGAATCTGGCCCTAGCCAAGCTCACCTACCTTGTCCCTTGCTTCTAATCTGTTCCTGATGTGTGGTCGAGATGCCTTAACTACTAGTGGCTCACAAAGGAAAACTGTGGCCACTTTAGCTGCACACTCTCCTCCAGAGAATCACAGGATTATTAATAGTAACACAAAGGCTGGGCCGGCACCACGGCTCACTTGGTTAATCCTCAATCTGCAGCGACGGTATCTCATATGGGCGCCGGGTTCTAGTCCCTGTTGCTCCTATTGCAGAGGGCAGTGAAGGATGGACAATGTGCTTGGGCGCCTGCACCCACATGGGAAATCAGGAGGAGACACCTGGCTCCTGGCTTCAGTTCGGTGCAGCACTGGCCATAGTGGCCTTTTGGTGAGTGAACCAACGGAAGGAAGACTTTTCTCTCTGTCTCTCTCTCACTATCCATCTCTATCTGTCAAAAAAAAATAGTAACACAAAGGGAAGGTCAAGAGCATCGATGTTCCAGGTTCAAAGCCTGGCTCTGACACTCATGGTTATGCTCCTGACGGAATCAACTTAATCACACCCCCTCCCTACAAATTCACATGCTGAAGCCCTGACCCCTGGTAGGTGGTATTCACGGGTGTTATTCACTGATATAATACTGAGAACAGTGCCTGGAATGGCGTAGACACCCCATTCCTTGGAGGAGTGCACGAATTATTAAGTGATCATTGGCTTCAACTCAGCAGAAAATGTCTCCAACTCATCAGAGACCCTTCCCAGCCCCTCTCCACAGTCCTTGCAAATAGATTCAGACTGGAGTGTCCCCAAGTGCTCCACCCACCTTCACACGCCTCTCCCAGACCCCGGAAACGCTTGCGGCCACTTCTGGATTCAAACCCCGGGTTGCAGGCACAGGAGTAGCTGCCGAGAGCGTTGAAGCAAGTGGCGTGCTCCGGGCAAGCTCGAGGATCGGCACATTCATCCACGTCTGGCAGATGCAAGAGAAAACCCAACCCACACCGAGGGAAAGGAGGAATCAGGGCTGAGCCTGCAAACAGGACGTTCACCCTGTGAGACAGGGACACACTGCCCAACACCCACGCTTCCCTTCATCTGGAGTGCACGGCTCTTAGTGGCGGGGGGGGGGGTGTGTGTGCAGCATGGCGGGGGAGGGGTGTTTCCCAGCCTCCCCTGCACTCAGGCTCAGTCATGAGAAACTCTGCTTAATGCTGGCTGAGCAGAAAGATGGGAATACTTTGAACACGTGATTCTCAGAGACTGCAGAACCACTCATGGTCATCGAGGCTCCTGCAGGCACACACTGGCAGGTGGACTGTGGAAGAGGCAGGAGTACAATCCTCCATCCCCTGAATCAAGCCAGCCCTGTGACTGCCAGGAAACAGGGCATCTGTTCTAAGCCTGGTCCTCAGAACCCTGTTTTCAGGGCCGGCGCTGTGGCATAGCGGGTTAATGCCCTGGCCTGAAGCACCCACATCCCATATGGGTGCCACTTCAAGACCTGGCTGCTCCACCTCTGACCAAGCTCCCTGCTATGGCCTGGGAAAGCAGTGGAAGATGGCCAACGTCCTTGGGCCCCTGCACCCACATGGGAGACCTGGAAGAAGCTTCTGGCTCCTGGCTTCGGACCGGCCCAACTCTGGCCATTGCCGCAAACTGGGTCTGAGCCAGTGTATGGAAGACCCATCTCTCTCTCGCGCTCTATCTGCCTCTCCTCTGTGTAACTCTGACTTTCAAATAAATAAATAAACCTTTTTTTAAAAAGTGCATGGGAGCAAATGGCCTTATGGGCTGGCCTTGTCCCCTAAATATGATGGGGACACCACAGGGCTCCTTGAGGCCCCTGGAGCTCTAGTCACATACCGTCAAGACCACCTAAGTTTCCCCTCTATTGTTCTGCTTCTAAAAACATCAGAATAACAATTAACAAACAGTTTTTGATTTTAGAAGCTTGAGTTTTCCCAGGAAATTAGACAACATAACATGGCCTCTGTGTGCCCTTTGGTAGAAACTACAAAGACAGCCTCCAGGGACGCCCCACTTCTTGCGAGTGCACAGGGATCTCCTGGCGAGAGAGGGGGCTATCTCCCTTCCTTTGACACCCACACCAGCCCTGAACTGCTCCCAATAGAATGCTAGATAAGGCGCCTTCCCAGATTTCTAAGCCCAGATCATAAAAAAAAAAAAATCAGGTCCTGACTTCTTCCTCTTGGAAGTCGGTCACCATGTTGTGAGGAACCTCAAGCAGCCATGAGGAAGCCTGAGGCAATCAGCAGAGCCCCCGACAGCAGCCAGCACCAACAGCACCCTTGCTAGCCAGGTTCCTTTGACCTCCCAACCACACTAGAGCCCCAGATGACACCTCGCTACACAAAAGAGCCCTGGGATCAACCCCTACAACCATGAGCTACTGCAGGGGTCATTGTCACAAGCCACCTACGTTTCCGGACGGTTGGCTGCCCACTGAGAAGCCCTCGGCTGGGCTGTGAAAGTCACCTGTGCACTGCAAAGCCTTGGTGTCCGCGGGGGCCCGACCGCTGGCTGAGAAGAACCCAGGCAGGCAGGAGCAGTTGTACTCCCCAGGGGTGTTGACGCAGACCGAGTTGGCACCACAGAGAGAGGAGTTCTTGGAACACTCATCCACATCTAAGCAGAAAGCAGTCCACGTCACAGCCTTGGAGGACGCTGAAGCTGCGGCCCCTCTCTCTCGCCACTGACCACAGTCGGCGGCTTCCCCGGCTCCAGCCTCACCTTCTAGAACACGTGTTCACCATGCACAGAGCAGCCGTTTAGAGGCACACCCACGACCCTGTCAGCCTTCTGAGAAGTCTCCCCTCCACTCAGGAGGAAACCTGGGCCCTTTGATAGGTGGACAAGGCAATAGGAATCTGGCCCTAGCCAAGCTCACCTATCTTGTCTTTGCTTCTAATCTGTTCCTGATGTGTGGTCGAGATGCCTTAACTACTAGTGGCTCAAAAAGGCAAACTGTGGCCTCTTTAGCTTGCACACTCCCCTCCAGAGAATCACAGGATTATTAATAGTAACACAAATGTGGGCCTGGCGCCATGACTCACTTGGCTAATCCTCCACCAGCGGCGCCGGCATCCCATATGGGCGCCGGGTTCTAGTCTCAGTTGCTCCTATTCCAGTCTAGCTCTCTGCTGTAGACCCGAGGGCACTGGAGGATGGCCCATGTGCTTGGGCGCCTGCACCCACGTGGGAAATCAGGAGGAGGCACCTGGCTCCTGGCTTCGGTTCGGCGCAGCACTGGCCATAACGGCCATTTGGGGAGTGAACCAACGGAAGGAAGACCTTTCTCTCTGTATTCTCTCTCTCACTATCCATCTCTATCTGTCAAAAAAATAGTAACACAAAGGGAAGGTCAAGAGCATCAATGTTGCAGGTTCAAAGCCTGGCTCTGACACTCATGGCTATGCTCCTGACAGAATGGAATTAATCACACCCCCTCCCCACAAATTCACATGCTGAAGCCCTGACCCCTGGTAGGTGGTATTCACAGGTGTTAGTCACTGCTACGTTCCTAGTACTGAGAACAGTGCCTGGAATGGCGTAGACGCCCCATTCCTTGGGGGAGTACACGAATTAATAAATGAACAGTGACTTCAACTCTGCAGAAAATGTCTCCAACTCATCAGAGACCCTTCCCAACCCCTCTCCACCGTCTTTGCAAATAGATTCAGACTGGAGTGTCCCCAAGTGCTCCACCCACCTTCACACGCCTCTCCCAGACCCCGGAAACTCTTGCGGCCACTTCTGGATTCAAACCCCGGGTTGCAGGCACAGGAGTAGCTGCCGAGAGCGTTGAAGCAAGTGGCGTGCTCCGGGCAAGCTCGAGGATCGGCACATTCATCCACGTCTGGCAGATGCAAGAGAAAACCCAACCCACACCGAGGGAAAGGAGGAATCAGGGCTGAGACTGCAAACAGGACGTTCACCCTGTGAGACAGGGACACACTGCCCAACACCCACGCTTCCCTTAGGCTGGAGTGCATGGCTCATCCTGTGTGTCTGTGTGTGTGTGTGTGTGTATGTGTGTCTGTGCCTGTGTGTGTGCAGCATGGCGGGGGAGGGGTGTTTCCCAGCCTCCCCTGCACTCAGGCTCAGTCATGAGAAACTCTGCTCAATGCTGGCTGAGCAGAAAGATGGCGAATACTTTGAACACGTGATTCTCAGAGACTGCAGAACCACTCATGGTCATCGAGGCTCCTGCAGGCACACACTGGCAGGTGGACTGTGGGAAGAGGCAGAGTACAATCCTCCATCCCCTGAATCAAGCCAGCCCTGTGACTGCCAGGAAACAGGGCACCCATTCTGAACCTGGTCCTCAGAACCCTGTTTTCAGGGCCGGCGCTGTGGCATAGTGGGTTAATGCCCTGGCCTGAAGCACCCACATCCCATATGGGTGCCACTTCAAGACCTGGCTGCTCCACTTCTGACCCAGCTCCCTGCTATGGCCTGGGAAAGCAGTGGAAGATGGCCAACGTCCTTGGGCCCCTGCATCCACATGGGAGACCTGGAAGAAGCTCCTGGCTCCTGGCTTCGGACCGGCCCAACTCTGGCCATTGCCGCAAACTGGGGAGTGAGCCAGTGGATGGAAGACCCCTCTCTCTCTCTTGCTCTATCTGCCTCTCCTCTGTGTAACTCTGACTTTCAAATAAATAATAAATCTTTTTTTAAAAAGTGAATGGGAGTCATGGCCTTATGGGCTGATTTACCCATAGTCGTGATGGGGACACCACAAGGGCTTCTTGAGGCCCCTGGAGCTCTAGTCACATACCCTCAAGACCACCCAAGTTTCCCCTCTATTGTTCTGCTTCTAAAAACATCAGAACAACAATTAACAAACAGTTTTTGATTTCAGAAGCTTGACTTTTCCCAGGAAATTAGACAACATAACACGGCCTCTGCGTGCTCTTTCATAGACACTGCAAAGACGGCCTCCAGTGTCGCCCCACTTCTTGCAAGTGCATGGGGATCTCCCAGCGAGAGAGGGGGCTATCTCCCTTCCTTTGACACCCACACAAGCCCTGAACTGCTCCAAGTAGAATGCTAGATAAGGCGCCTTCCCAGATGTCTAAGCCCAGATCATTAAAAAAAAAATCAGGTACTGACTTCTTCCTCTTGGAGGTTTGTCGCCATGCTGTGAGGAACCCCAAGCAGCCATGACGAAGCCTGAGGCGATCAGCAGAGCCCCCGACAGCAGCCAGCACCCACCGATGGCCATGCTAGCCAGGTTCCTTTGGACCTCCCAACCACACTAGAGCCCCAGATGACACCTCGCTACACAAAAGAGCCCTGGGATCAACCCCTAGAACCATGAGCTACTGCAGGGGTCATTGTCAGAAGCCACCTACGTTTCCGGACAGGTTGGCTGCCCACTGAGAAGCCCTCGGCTGGGCTGTGAAAGTCACCTGTGCACTGCAAAGCCTTGGTGTCCGCGGGGGCACGACCGCTGGCTGAGAAGAACCCAGGCAGGCAGGAGCAGTTGTACTCCCCAGGGCTGTTGACGCAGACCGAGTTGGCACCACAGAGAGAGGAGTTCTTGGAACACTCATCCACATCTAAGCATAAAGCAGTCCACGTCACAGGCGTGGAGGACGCTGAAGCTGCGGCCCCTCTCTCTCGCCACTGACCACAGTCAGCGGCTTCCCCAGCTCCAGCCTCACCTTCTAGAACACGTGTTCACCTGTGCACAGAGCAGCCGTTTAGAGGCACACCCACCACCCTGTCGGCCTTCTGACAAGTCTCCCCTCCACTCAGGAGGAAACCTGGGCCCTTCGATAGGTGGACAAGGCCCTGGGAATCTGGCCCTAGCCAAGCTCACCTATCTTGTCCCTTGCTTCTAATCCTTTCCTGATGTGTGGTCGAGATGCCTTAACTACTAGTGGCTCAAAAAGGCAAACAGTGGCCTCTTTAGCTTGCACACTCCCCTCCAGAGAATCACAGGATTATTAATAGTAACACAAATGTGGGCCTGGCGCCATGACTCACTTGGCTAATCCTCCACCAGCGGCGCCGGCATCCCATATGGGCGCCAGGTTCTAGTCCAGGTTGCTCCTATTCCAGTCTAGCTCTCTGCTATAGACCCAGAGGGCACTGGAGGATGGCCCATGTCCTTGGGTGCCTGCACACACGTGGGAAATCAGGAGGAGGAACCTGGCTCCTGGCTTCCGTTCGGCGCAGCACTGGCCATAACGCCAATTTGGGGAGTGAACCAACAGAAGGAAGACCTTTCTCTCTGTATTCTCTCTCTCACTATCTATCTCTATCTGTCAAAAAAAATAGTAACACAAAGGGAAGGTCAAGAGCATCAATGTTGCAGGTTCAAAGCCTGGCTCTGACACTCATGGCTATGCTCCTGACAGAATGGAATTAATCACACCCCCTCCCCACAAATTCACATGCTGAAGCCCTGACCCCTGGTAGGTGGTATTCACAGGTGTTAGTCACTGCTACGTTCCTAGTACTGAGAACAGTGCCTGGAATGGTATAGACGCCCCATTCCTTGGGGGAGTGCACAAATTATAAGTGATCATTTACTTCAACTCAGCAGAAAATGTCTCTAACTCATCTGAGACACTTCCCAATCCCTCACCACCGTCTTTGCAAATAGATTCAGACTGGAGTGTCCCCAAGTGCTCCACCCACCTTCACACGCCTCTCCCAGACCCCGGAAACTCTTGCGGCCACTTCTGGATTCAAACCCCGGGTTGCAGGAACAGGAGTAGCTGCCGAGAGCGTTGAAGCAAGTGGCGTGCTCCGGGCAAGCTCGAGGATCGGCACATTCATCCACGTCTGGCAGATGCAAGAGAAAACCCAACCCACACCGAGGGAAAGGAAGAATCAGGGCTGAGACTGCAAACAGGACGTTCACCCTGTGAGACAGGGACACACTGCCCAACACCCACACTTCCCTTCAGCTGGAGTGCACGGCTCATCGTGTGTGTGTGTGTGTGTGTTTGTGGGTGTGTGTGTGTGCGCAGCATGGCGGGGGAGGGGTGTTTCCCAGCCTCCCCTGCACTCAGGCTCGGTCATGAGAAACTCTGCTCAATGCTGGCTGAGCAGAAAGATGGCGAATACTTTGAACACGTGATTCTCAGAGACTGCAGAACCACTCATGGTCATCGAGGCTCCTGCAGGCACACACTGGCAGGTGGACTGTGGGAAGAGGCGGAGTACAATCCTCCATCCCCTGAATCCAGCCGGCCCTGTGACTTGCCAGGCAATAGGGCACCCGTTCCAAACCTGGACCCCAGAACCCTTTTTTCTTCTGCACTTTATCTTGGTCCTCTTGCCTCTGCCATGGGCACAAGCCCCAGGATAACAGACCAATGGAGGGAGGGAGCGATAGAGAGAGGGAGGGAGGGAGAAGGGGACATTGTGCCAAAAGGCCCAAACTTGAGAGACAAGATTGAATGATTACAGATAAACGAACTCAGAAGAGATCAGAAGAACTGACCCAAATATCCAAACCTAAGTTGCCAAACTGTTCAATCAAGAGCTACATAAACGAGGAGCCAGCCCTGTGGCGTAGTGGGCAAGGCTTCTGCCTGCAGGGCCGAGATCCCACACAGGCGCTGGTTCAAGTCCCAGATGCTCCACTTCCGATCTAGCTCACTGCTATGGGTTGGGAAATTAGTAGAAGATGGCTCAAGTCCTTTGGCCCCTGCACCTGTGTAGGAGACCCGGAACAATCTCCTGGCTCCTGCCTTCTAATCGGCGCAGTTCTGGCTATTGCCACCAACTGGGGAGTGAACCAATGGATGGAAGACTTCTCTCTCTCTCTCTCTCTCTCTCTCTCTCTCTCTCCCTCTCCTCTCTTTGTAACTCAAATAAATAAATAAATCTTTTTTTTTAAAGAGCTACATAAACGGTTGTTGCTTTAGCCATTAACTTGTAGGGCACTTTGTCACTCAGCAAGAGTTAACTGACACTGACCAGCGCCGTGGCTCAATAGGCTAATCCTCCACCTGCGGCGCCGGCACACCGGGTTCTAGACCCGGTTGGGCGCTGGATTCTGTCCCGGTTGCCCCTCTTCCAGGATACCAGGACAGCTCTCTGCTATGGCCCAGGAGTGCAGTGGAGGATGGCCCAAGTCCTTGGGCCCTGCACCCGCATGGGAGACCAGGAGAAGCACCTGGCTCCTGGCTTCAGATCAGCTCAATGCGCTGGCCGTAGCGCTCCAGCAGCAGCGGCCATTGGAGGGTGAACCAACGTCAAAAGGAAGACCTTTCTCTCTGTCTCTCTCTCTCTCTCACTGTCCACTCTGCCTGTCAAAAAAATAAATAAATAAATAAAAAGTGGGAAAAAAAAGAGTTAACTGACACCTGACACTGACACAAACAGGTCAGAGAAAAAGCAGAGATGGCTTCAAACATCTCTTCAACTAAGCCATGGGGAGGTTCTGAGGGTGTGGCCCGGCTGTTCCTTGCTCAGCAGTCGCTCTCTCTGAACAGGAGCTGCCCTAGCACAGCAAGACAGAGCTCATCCCTCTCGATGAAGGCATTCGGGCACTGCACGGAGAGAGCTGGAGAAAGGTGGCGGAGTGAGGAGGTGCTACAGTAGGGAAGCTTGAGCCAAGATGTAGGGGCCGAGAGGGTTCAGGGTGCACTTCACAGGTGCAGGATGCACAGGTGGTGGTTAATTCGGAGGCAGAGGGAGAACCAAGGGCACCTCTTCTCAGATCAGAAGTCCAATTCCTTTCAGGGAGGAGGAGTTCTGGAGCTGAGATCTGAGCGCTCCCTGAGGGAGGTCTCCTTGGCTCAACCCTTCTGACCTTTGCGGCTGCATCCGTCTCGGCTGTGAGGGCTGCTCTGTGCATTGTAAGATGTGTAGTAGCTCTTCTGGCCTCAACTTACAAGATGTCACCAGCAGCACACACACAGCCACACCCCTATCCCCAGTTGTGACCATAAAAACTGTCTCAGACATTGCCGACGTCGCCTAAGGATGCTGCGTTTCCAGAAGTGACTTCTGAGCCCCATGGTTCTCATCCCATAGTCCCACCCCTTCCATGTGCTCCTCTAATGGGCGGATGCTGGTTAGCTAGGGATGCCCACCATGGAGAGAGCTGGCCTTCTATACCTTTGCAGGTGGAGTTGTTAGAGACGAAGCCAGCACGGCAGCTGCAGCTGTAGCTCCCCTCGGAGTTGGTACAGACGGAGTGCTCGGGGCAGACTCTGCGGTTGAGGCACTCATTGATGTCTGAAAGGCCAGGCAGACAAGAGATGGGGCATCTACACTTGCCAACACGCAGACGCAACTCACCAGAAACCCCTGCCTGGGGGCGTTACCCGTGCAATGGAAACGGCCAGGCTTTCCCTGGATCCAACCGTCACCGGGGGGTGAAGAGAACCCCGGAAGACAGCTACACTTGTATCTTCCACGCCGATTTTCACAAACCGAGTGAGGACCACACGGCGAGGGGCTTTGAGAACATTCGTCAATATCTGGACAGAGAGAGAGATGGTTACTGACATGGGCACTCCTCCCATGGAGGGGGGATGTCCAAGTCCCCTCCCCTTGAACCTGAGCACATGACGCTAGGTCATCAAGATGCCAACACCAAGTCTCGACACCACACACTTCCGCTCCGTTCTCGGAACTTGCCACCAGACTTGAGGAAGCCCAACCACCCCTGCATTTTGATAGGCAAGGAGGAGTCATTTTCACCAAGAGAGAGAGACTCAGAGACAGAGAGAAGCTTGGACATTTGAGGGTTGGAAAGGAAGTACCTGTATCCGCTCCAGCCAGCCAGCATCCTGCCGAGTTTCCAACCAAAGGCTGGAGGGTTTTGAGTGCCTGTGTACTCACCGAGGCATTGCACTCCTGGGCCTGTGAAGTGAGGCTGTCCATTGCTGGACCGGAAGCCTTGCTTGCAAGCACAATAGTAGCTCCCGATGGTGTTGGTGCAGGTTGAAAATGTGGGGCAGATGGTGGAATCCGCACACTCGTTCACATCTAGGGAGGTTTGTGAACGAGAGTTAGAGCATGAGAGAGTGAGGCTGTGGAGGGCAGGGGTGGCTGTGAAGCTGGGTTCCCAACAAGCTAGGCTGAAGTCTTAATCCCCAGGACCTGTGTACGTAATCTCTTTTTTTGGAACTAAAGTCTTGTACGTTAAGATGAAGTAGTTCTGGGGCAGGGTGGGCCTCCAATCCAGGATGGCTGGATTAGACCAAGACACAGGGGCAGGAACAGGGAAATGCGTGGGACACGGGGGACAGATCCGAGGGATGCGCCTACAAGCCAAGGATTATGAGAAGCCAACAGTCACAGGCCAGTTTCTTACCCTCCAGCTCTTACTCCAAGAAGGGTCCCACCAACACCTTAATCTCAGATTGGTGGCCGCCTCCAGGACCATGAGAGAAGAGATTCCTAGTTTGCAGCCACTGAGTGCCTGGTGGTTTGCCATAGGAATTTTTAAGAAATTGGCACAGCAACCAACAACACTTAAGCAAGCACCTTGAAGACCCAAAACCCTTGGTTCTCCATGTGCGATCCATACACGGAGGGGCAAGTGTGCACCTGCACAAGCATTCCCCTGCAAGCCCAACACGATGCAGGAGCTCAGGACCCAGACCCAGATCAACAGCATCAGGACCTGCGTCTGGACAAGATCTGCAGTTGGCTCGAGTTTGTGCCCAGGAAAATTTGAGGAGCACCGATCTGCATGTTCGCTATTCACAGTGTGGTCCATTGACCAGCAGCACCCACCTCCCCTTGGATGCCCAGCAGACCTTGGAAAATTGATCCCCGATCCAGCAGGTCTGAAGAAGGGAACTGAAGTGCTCATCTCTTTTTTTTATTTGACAGGTAGAGTTAGAGAGAGAGAGAGAGAGAGAGCGAGCAAGGTCTTCCTTGTGGGGAGCAACTCAGACTAGACTAAATTACTCGAATTAAGACTTATTCTATGCATCTGCTCTCCCACAATATGGCGCTGGGAGAGGAGTAAACAGCTTCTACGCAGCTGCCTCTCGCCAACTTGAGTGATAACCTGCAGGAGCTGATCCTGTTCCTGATTGGAGGAGAGCAGCGTACTCGGCATGTGGGTAGCAGAGTTGGGATTGGTGGAAGAGGACTATAAAGGAGGAGAGAGACAACATGCACCAGGAACATCTAAGAGGAACATCTATGAGGAACATCTATGAGGAACACCTGAGCAGCCCCCGAGAGAGCCGGCCGGTGGTGTGCCGCTCCCCCGCGGAAGTGGGGAAAGTGGCAGGGGAAACCGCCCTTCCACGGAGGTGGAACGGTCGGTAGCCAACCCGGGAAGAACCAGCAGCAAACCCGGGAAGGGCCAAGCAGACAAAAGAACAGCGCAGGGTCCTGTGTCGTTCCTCCGCAAAGAGGGGGAGCGACATAATGGTGCCGTGACTCGGATATGAAGCCTAGGCAGGGTTTAGTGTCGTTCCTCCGTGAAGAGGGGGAGCGACACTTCCTTCCATTGGTTCACTCCCCAAATGGCCGCTACGGCCGGTGCCGCACCAGTCCAAAGCCAGGAGCCAGGTGCTTCCTCCTGGTCTCCCATGCGGTGCAGGGCCCAAGCACTTGGGCCATCCTCCACTGCACTCCCGGGCCACAGCAGAGAGCTGGACTGGAAGAGGAGCAACCGGGACTAGAACCGGCGCCCATATGGGATGCCGGTGCCGCAGGCAGAGGATTAACCAAGTGAGCCATGGCACTGGCCCCGAAATGCTCATCTCTAACAGCACAATAAGGCTGCTGGTGCTGGCCCGGGGATCACAGCAAGGCAGATCTGAGTCCAGGTCCCAGCAGTGAAGCTCAAAGCACAGAACAGCGCTGTCCCCCCAGGCTCATTCTTCCCCCTCCCTGGAGTGACCCGACCACCCACGGAAGACTGCGTTGCTAGCTTTTCTAGCAGCGAGGGGTGGAGACATGCCTGAATCCTTGCCAAAGGAGACGAAGAGAAGGCACATGTTCTTGTGTTCTCTACCTCCTCGTTCCCCTCCCACCTGGGCTGGCGCGTGGGCAGAGTGGGCTCACTGTCCTCGCCCGTGAGGTAAGGCTCAACCCCAGCGTGGCAGAGGCATCCGAGCAGGACTGTGCTACCATCCCCAAGCCGGCGATGGGGGTGGAGAGGATAACGCAATTTCTACCTTGCCTAACTCACTGTTTCTTGGTTTCCATGGAAACAGCCAACACTCCATCCTAGCCAATCCAGCCCTGGGGTGAGTGATTTCTTCCCCTGTGCCTCGGTTTACCTGTTTAACCCTCACCTCCCTGCACTCCCCGGAACCTGTTGATTCTCCTTCCCGGGGATCATTCGACACCTACCAGCTTCCCTCCGTCCCCCTGGCCATGCCGGGTCCCCTGCCTCCCCTTCACATCCCTTGTTCCCAGCAATCCCTTCTCTCTGAATGCAGTTTGACCACTGGCACCGCGGCTCACTTGGCTAATCCTCCGCCTTGCGGCGCTGGCACACCAGGTTCTAGTCCCAGTCGGGGCACCAGATTCTGTCCCGGTTGCCCCTCTTCCAGGCCAGCTCTCTGCTGTGGCCCGGGAGTGCAGTGGAGGATGGCCCAAGTGCTTGGGCCCCGCACCCACATGGGAGACCAGGAGGAAGCACCTGGCTCCTGGCTTCAGATTGGCACAGTGTGCCGGCCGTAGTGGCCATCTGGGGGGTGAACCAACGGAAGGAAGACCTTTCTCTCTGTCTCTCTCTCTCACTGTCTAACTCTGGCTGTCAAAAAAATAAATAAATTTTAAAAATTGCAGTTTGACCCCACACCCCACCCCTCGCCTCTTCCACTGCCTGTTACACTGTGGGTTGAAATCCAGAATACTTGACATGAGCACAGTGCCCCAGCAAGAGGACCGACCACAGCACTCAGCGTTGTCTGCTGCCGGTCTCCCTCGGTTCCCCATTTCAAGCCTTCCTACTGCAGGCCCTGTGCACATGCTATTCCCATTTTTTCTGCTTAGCCTTGTTAGCTTCTACCCATTCCCTCGGACTTACTTTAATGTCACCTCCTCCAAGAAGCCTTCTCTGATTCCCTCATAACTCCCTGAGCTCCTTCTTCATGACACTTGTAATAATTGCTGCTATGATCAGCCAACACCCCTGCCACTCCATGAGGACAAGAAGACACCGGCCATTTCATTTCTGTGCTGTGCAGAGTAATGGTGACCATGCCCAATCCCAAGAACTCAGGAACGTTAGCCTCCCTGGCAAGCGGAACTTAAAGCTGCAGATGGAAGGAACAGCCTAGCCAGCCACACCAGCAAGGACAGTCCAGGCTGGGCTGTGACCCATGCAAACGAGGAAATTGGTAAGCGAGAGACAAAACCAGCAGAGGCAGAGGCCAACGATGAGGCGCCAGGGACCTGACAGCAACTGCCGTCCTGGAAGACAGAGGAAGAACCCACGAGCCGAGGAACGCAGCCGACCCTGGACACCAGAGCAAACGGAGTCTCCACTGCCGCCCCAGAAGGGACACATGCATCAGGCAGAACCATTCTGGACTTCCGACCTGTGGAACTGTGGGCTACTAGGTCATGAGTTTGTGGTTTTCTATGACAGCAGTCACGGTAAATAAACCAATTTCCTCTCTACAGATGTGCAAATGGAGGTTCAGAGGGGCTGGTGCTGTGGTACAGCAGGCTAAGCCATTGCCTACAACGCCAGCATCCCATGTCTAAGCACTGGTTCAAGTCCCGGCTGCTCAGCTTCCCATCCAGATCCCTGCTAATGCACCTGGGAAGGCACCAGACGATGGCCCAAGTGCTTGGATCCCCGCCAACAATTTGGGAGAGCCGTAAGGAGTTCCAGGCTCCTGGCTGTTGCAGCCATTTACAGAGTGAACCAAAGACGTAAGATCTCTTTGTCTCTCCCTCTCTCTCATTCTACCCTTCAGATAAACAAATCTTTTTGAAAAAGAAAAGTTTCAGAACCAGAACTTTTAGAACTGAAAGTGCTAGGGTCGGCATTGTGACACGGCAGGTAAAGTGGACACCAGCATCTCATGTGGGCACCAAGTCAAGTCCGGCTTCTGCACTTCCAATCCAACTCCCTGCTAATGCACCTGGGAGAGCAGTGGAAAATAGCCCAGGTGTTTGGGCCCTTGCACCTACGTGGGAGACCTGGATGAAGCTGCTGGCTTCAGCCTGGCCCAGTACTGGCCATTGCAGCCATCTGGGGGGAGAACCAATCTGTGTGAAGGATCTCTTTGTCTCTCCCTCCCTCACTCTGTAACTTTGATTTAAAGCAAGTAAATCTTTAAAAAAAAAATCTAAAGATCTAGAGGAAAGGGGGTGGCTCTGGTCAGAAATGGAATAAATTTCCAAGCGATTTCAGCTCTTGCCGTTGGTTTTCTGAGCGCTTCCAGAGGCCGGGGCTGTGCCTCGGTCCTGCTTACTGCTGTATGGATCGGCCCCTGTCGCATCTGTCACCATGGAACACGTGGCACGAAGGAGCCACTCTGCCTTGGAGGGGGAGGGGCAGAACGGAGAGAGGCAGGAGGAAGACAGACAAGCAGCAGATAAGGAATTGCTACAGGGAGTCAGATGTCCAGCAGAGATAGAGAAGAAAGCAAAGGAAGGGGGTGGGGGAGTTAGGGAGTGGGAGGAGGTGCAAAGTTCAACAAGGAAGTTAGCAAAGATGGCAGAGACCTGGAGGAGGCAACAGGAAGCCACTGAAGTCCAGGAAAGGAAGTGCAAAGACCCTGGGTCAGAACCACACCTGGTGATGCCACAGAATAGCAGGAGGTGGGGGAGGGAGTGGGGGAGAAGAGCGAAGGGAACGGGAGGGAGGGAGGCGAGCGGGCGACCCAGGCAGTTCATACAGAACCTTCCAGAGCACAGTAAGACTCTGGGTTTTGATCAGAGAGAGCTGGGGGCCGTGGAGGAGCACAGGGTGACCAAGGCTCTCACAGGACCCTCCTGGTGCTGGCTGGAAGATGAGCAGCACGTGCAGAGAAGCAGAAGTGTGGAAGAAGTGGTGG